TACTACATAATGTGAGTATTATTTCTTTTTTCTGCGTACTTGATTGTATTTTAGATGAACTTATACTGTTATATTTCTCTATTGTTATTTTAGATCTGCTTAAAAAGGACCTAAAGTTGAGATCGAAACGTAGCAATTTAATAAAAATTATATGCCAGAGTGTCGAATAGAAGAGTATTGTTCTACTTATTATTTATAATTCTTGCAAGTTTCAATAATTCGAGTGTTAGTAATTATTGTCATTATTTAAACTCAGCAATGAAGTGTTTATCTGTAGAGGAAAAAGTCAAAATGGTTCTTGTTTATGGAGAATCTAGGAGAAATGTGCAACAGTCTATTCTCCTGTATGCCGAACCGTTTCCTGATAGAACTCCATCACAAATATCATTTTATCGTGTTATAAAGCAGTTTTCAGAAGAAGGAAGTGTTCAGCCAAAAAAAGAAGCCGTAAAAGAACCGCTACCGGCGAAAATAAGGAAACTGCAGTGTTAGCTGCAATGAATTACGATTCCCATATAAGTTCCCGAAAATTAGTTACCAATTCAGGAATTTCTAAAAGCAGTATTTTTAGAATATTAAAACGGCACAAATTCCATCCATAGCATGTGTCGTTGCATCAAGAACTACATGGTGACGATTTTGTGAATAGAATAACATTTTGTAAATGGGCACAAGATATAATGCGGAATAATAATAACTTTTTTCTACCTGTATTATTTAGTGACGAATGTACTTTCACCGATCATGGTGAAGTAAATCGGCATAACATGCACAATTAAGCTGTTGAAAATCCACATTGGTTAAGAGAAGTGGAGCATCAGAGATCTTGGTCTGTTAATGTGTGGTGTGGAATTTTGGGAGAAAAAGTAATTGGGCCTTTTTTTATCGATGGCACATTAACAGGAAAAATGTACACAATCTTTGTAACTGAGGAGTTGCCGTTACTGTTGGAAGATGTACCATTAAAAGAAAGGCAGATCATGTGGTACCAGCACGACGGATGCTCTGCTTATTATGCACGTATTGCTAGAGATGCTTTAAATCAGAATTACAATGATCGTTGGAAAGGACGCAAAGGTCCAGTACATTGGCCAGCTCGATCTCCTGATCTTACACCCCTAGACTTTTTCTTATAGGGTTATCTCAAAGATAAAGTTTATATCAATGAACCAACGACTCCAGAAAACATACAAGAGCGCATACAAAATGCTTGTGCAAATATTGAAAGAGACGCATTTTACGCGTAAATTGTGAAGTGTGTGTGTATACACATACATACATATATATATATATATATATATATATATATATATATAAATGTATTAAAATGTAAACTTAATTAGCGGTACAAACGGGTACAAACGATTAGGAAGCAGCACCCGTTTACAGATTTCGAATATCTTTAAAAATAGCAAAGTTACCCCTTTCGCGAATATTAAATACCCCGTATTTCCACCCCCTTAGGGGTACAAACGAAATGGAAAGCGATACAAACGGGTATAAACGATACTGAATCGAACGGCACCACGAAAATTACGATATCTCAAAGTGGGATGCTGGTGATTTTTCAACTCTTAATAACTTGCAACCCTTAGGGGTACAAACAAAATAAAAATCGGTACAAACGGGTACAAACAAAGTACAATCGAATGCGTACCTGAAATATCCATTTACTTTAAGTCGGGTGCCAGGTTCACAAAGCTCCTACAGACGAGGTGTACAGGGGTGAGCTCAGGGGGCAGGACTGCTCCTGAGCTTCGGAAACTTGCCGCGATATTTACCGCTCAAGTGGAGAAGGTAGCCGAAGTTCCGGGTGCTGAAGAGCTTATTACCGGGAAGCTCATGGCCTCTTCAAGGAAGCTGAGTGGTATCGTGGAGCTGGTGGAGAGGTCCTGATTGATGCGGATCCGGGGATGGATGTTCTTCGTAGCGCGAACCAGGGTTTGAGGATGCGTGTCTCGGCCCTGGAGAGACAATTGGAGCACCAGGGAGGAGCTGGCCTCTATGCGAGCTATCTTCTTCGAGCTGGAGGCCCGTTATTATTTTCCGAAGGTAAGGGCCAAGAAGAAGAGGACACGCCGGGATCGTCCCTCTACGGAACATCCTGGTGAACCATCAGCGGTGGTTGTTGGACAGCAGGAGAACTGCCCAGTTACGGTGGCAGCGGTGTCGTCCCTTATCGATCGTCGTATTAGTGACTTGAGGGGCGACATTGCCTCGATTGTTATAGCCACACTGAAGTCAGAGCTTGCGGGGCGGGCTGGACCCACTCCTTCGGGAGTGGTGCCCATGCGCGCGCCTGCCGTGAGCGGTAAAGGTGAAGCAATTGCTTCGGGGCGGGCTCCTGTGTTCGGGGGCTCTGCCACCTCCGCTTCTGCGGAAGTATTGGCGGATGCCACTGGACGTGGAATCGTTAACAGCGGTGGACGTCGGCGTTGTCGTGGTCGTTGGTTGGGATCATCTATTAATAGAGTTTTTGCGAGTACTCCGGCTCGCGGTGAGAGGAGGAAACGCAGACCCCCTCCTCCTTCCTCCTCGTCGGTGATATCACTGACGGTTGGGACAGTGGAGGAGGGGGAGCGTGCGAGGACGTACGCTTCGATTCTTCGTGAGGCGAGGCAGACGGTGGATTTGTCCGGGCTGGGCATTAGGTCGATGCGTCTCCGCCATGAGGCGACGGGTAGCTGTCCGTCCGTGGTGGTAACTCCTCTAAGTTGGCTGATACGTTAGCATCGAAACTCCGGGGCGTTCCCTTCTCGGCGAAAGGTGGAGTGAGGATAGACGGTCTCTCTCGAACGGAAGAGATCCGACTGAGGGGGTTGATGGCTCTCATTACGAAGGAGGACATCTTGTCTGAGGTTGCGTCGGTGGCTGGACGTGGGTTTGATAAAGGCGGGGATATCCGCATGTTCCCTAACTCGGACGTTGGAACGTTGTGGCTCCGTTGCCCGGCTGATGCTGTGCGTAGGCTCGTGAAAGCGTTGCGTCGCGTGCGGGATGATGAGACTTGGCGATTACGTCATTGGTTCGCCGCCCCTTGCAATGCTTCAAGTGCCACGCGTTCAGTTACACGGCGAATAGATGCGTGTCAGAGACGGACAACAGCGATTGCTGTTTTCGTTGTGGTCAGCGAGGGCACGTGGCAGTCAAATGCGTAGCGCCGCCCTTTTGCCTGTCGTGCGTGAAGGCTGGAAAGCCCGCGAGGCATCGCACTGGTTCTAGCGCATGCGCGAGGAAGATCGTTCCTCCCAAGAGGTTGTTTGGTGCAGGAGAGTGCAGTTCTCCGCCGGGTCGCCGATATCCTCTAGGGCATCCTCCTGAGGAAGGGTCTCCTGAGGCAATAAATGTCTCGGAGAGGAATTGCCGGGGGGGCGCCGAAAGATGACCCTGCGGTTCTTTTTACCTCTATTAGTCCGTAATGTGGTTATAGGGGCTGCGGTCTGCATTCGTTCTCCCTAACGGGAGACTGGCAGGTCTGATTACGCCCTCTGTCTTAGTATCTGTTCTTGTACATTGTTGTCTATGGGGGCTGCGGCCTTCATTTGTCTCCTCGACGGGGGACTGGAAGGCCTGGTTACACTCTCTGTAACTGGTCTTTTATGTTGTTCTAGTGATTTTTGTTGTCCGGTGTTTTCACGAGTGGGCTATTATCTTCCCACCCACTTGCTGCAGTTTGGCCATTACGCCTCATATATGGGTCCCTTTGTGGACCGGGCCTGTGATCTTTACTCAGTTGGTCACGTTTGTGAATGTGTACATGTTTGTGCACCATGCTCTAGTCTCGTGATGTCCATGTGACGTATTGTTATGTGTCGGGCGGTTTTCACTGCCTCCATCGGGGACGGCAGGGGGTGGGGTGAGGGCCCCAATCCCATTGCACGTCGTCCCTGGGACAAAGAGGCGAGCTAGGAATCCGGCTCCCTCTTGTTGCTCTTCTTCCCGGTAGGGAGAGTAAGCGCGGGAAGTGCTTCCTGAAGGAACCACCGCCTTCTTCCACGGGAAAGAGCCCCAAAAGGGGTCATGGCCGAGGGTGTCTACCGGAAGTTATGCGTGAGCGATTCCCGGTGGACAATACCCGTCAAAGCAAGGAATTTCACCGCAGTTTTAGGGTTAGGTCCTCCCGTCTCCTTCAGAGGCGGAAAATCCCCCACACGCCGCCGGACCTCCCTCAGGGTCTGGCTAACACGGTTTGGTGTTAAAGCAAATTTCCTCACTTTAAAAAAAACGTATTCGGATCTATAATTGGATGTAGCACAGACATGAACCAAATTTGGTTCTTTTATGGACATCGAAAGTGGAATGTGGCCATGTAGTTTCACACGACCGTAAAATGTACGTGACGCTAGTGCGCGACCTAGAAAAAGCGTCGTACAAAAAATGACGGCGTGGCGCCTCTTCCTTCTTTCTGGTACTATATTGCACAATAACGTGTACGTTTGTGTACGTTGGTAGAAAGCATCCATATAGCTTTAGCCAACTTTAAAACACTTTCAAAATGACGTCTAAGAAATTACGTCTATTTTTAGTCACTAACATATTAAACCGTAGATGACTAAAACTAGGCATTGTTATATCGTCTTCTGACATGACATTGCTACTTATTATTAGAAATAATATTACACAATGTAATATTGTTATCTTTATGGTTACAATATACTTTCTCGCGAATAATTTTTAACAATTATATATATATATATATATATATATATATATATGTATGTTAAAAAATATCAAAATATCAAATTATATTTAAAATTTTAGGTTTTCATCAAATTTATTATTTCAGTTACTTTGTTATATGTTATTGTTCTAAAAACAGTTACACAACAATAATATTCTTGCATTACATAATTCGTTTGATAACAAATAAAAATTTAATGAAAAATATTGATACAATAGAAATAGAAAAACCGTATTTGATAAAATATATACACAACAAATATTATTAATTTTTAATACAAAAGATATACAGAGAGAAAGTATATAAAAGTATACTCTTATTAATCCAAAATATAATATATAAAATTTATCACGCAAAACAGTACTGAGAGACGAATGCCTATGTGTATAATTATTAGTTAATGCTTACCGTGATTTTATAACAAAATATAATGCGGATTTTATGATAAAGATATTTAAATGCATAACAATACTAATGCGAAAACAGTATTAATGACATATTTACAATTATAATGTGTATACATATATTATATGAAATTATACTAATATTTACTCAAACTTTGTCCAATTATTTGGTGATTTAATAGCAGATGTGCTCAGAGTTAAACTGAATGTGTCCATCGTATCAATATTATTAATATTGTTATCTGGTACACTTCGATTACATACAGGAGTATTTTTTATAGATGGATTATCACTATTAGTTAAGCTAAATTTACTAAAATCTATACCGTACGCTTGTAATAAATCCATATCACCTATGTTATCGGAGGTCTTCGGTTTATCATTGTTTTTGTGCGATGATTGTTGAAAATAAGGATATAAAGGATTACTAAGACCTTCACTCATTTCGAGTAAATGTAATGATTGACTCATCTGTTTTGTGCTTGAAAATTCAGTAACCTTAGATAGAAGTGGATCAAAATCGTCATTACTATTCGTCGAATCTAAGCGTATTAAATCTGGAGAATCCTGTAAAAAAATACATATACCGATAATTAAATTTAATAAGTTAATTAAAGTAAGTGAGAATAATATAATACTGCAAGTTTTAACTTGCAGTATAAAAATGCTTTCTTATTTAGTGCTCGTTTTCACATAATAAATACAGGTATGTAAATTTCATATATACAGGGTGAATTTAGTAAAAAGATCACCATGTTATTCTTGAAACCAGTTAAGGTGCTTTTTCATACGCAGCATGCTGCAACAGCAAATTAGTCACGTGATCAAAATTTATTAGAGGATATTTCTTTGTTCTCTTATTATTTCAAGGTTAAAATAATTTTTGCTTTTATATTCTCATAATAATCTATTTATTCTTAAAATCCATTATTCAACTAATATAATAATAATAATAATTAGAATCAACTAGTTGTGAGTTCTTTTGCTTTGCTGCCTTTGCTTTTCGTTCAATTGAACTTCACCAATAGCAACAAACTGTTGCGGCAGCATGCTGCACATAAAATGGTACCTTTAGAAATAGGGGAAGACATCCATTATCAAAATTGTAGGAGAAAAAGAAATACATATTTTGGTAATCTTGATAAATCCTAAGGTCCGCTTTTTATAATTTTTTTCTTAAATGAAAAGAAATACTTTGTAGTTACTCTATATAATACAAAAGTTATTATATATATAAGTTATAATATATATATATATATATATATATTATATTGATATCTCGAGAGCCGTCAACAATGTTCTTAATACACATACATAAGTCAGAATAAAATGAATCATTTTACTATTACAGCAAATCTTCAAAATGTTCGCCCAAGTTGATTCAGATATGCCAATCGTTAGCAGAAAGCTTGTTTCTAACTCCTGTAGGATCATTTCGCGAAAAATATTTTTTGTACAAACAAGGTTTCCACGAAGACTAACAGTATGTTTGGATCAACATTTTGAATACTTCCGGTAATAATAAAACGATTAGTTCCAAATTTTCAATCTAACTTATTTTGTTAATATCCTAAAAATGATTGAATTTTTGAAAGATATTCTAATACAAAAGTTATTAACCTCATTAGGTATATTTATTAATCCTATTAAATACTATCGAGAGTGACTACAAAATACCTCTTTTCATTAAAAAAAAAAAAAATTTTTTTTGCAATGCCTGTTGCGAAAATTCGATTTTCGATTACAGTTTAGCGTGCGGAAAATGGCTTATTTCTCAACGATTCAATGTATGCCTTACTTTACCACACTAGTGTGAGAAAAGCATCTTTATTATTTACTTTACCGCACTAGTGCGGTAATGTGTTACTATGGTTACACTTTACCGCACTAGTGCGGAAAAAAATCATCTTTCTTCTCGATTGACATAACAAACTTGAACGTAATGAAATTCACGCGAGACAAAACGTCAATTTGTTATAACCTTCACTATTCAAAAAAGATTAAATGGATAAAAGAAACGAGTATTCAAGACCGTCCACGCCGTTAGAACTTATAGAAGCAGCTGAATCTGCCACGAAGACTTTATTACTGAAAAAATCAAGAGATAAGTACATGAGTAAAAACATCTCAAATCAAACTTTCGCGAGACATTACAAAAAATACTGTATGTGACATGTGCGGATACACATGAATACATCGCGCGTAAAGTTGCCGCATTCGCCTTAGCTTATGATACATTCACACTCGTACTCGTGTGAATGCATCATAAGCCTTCGGCTCATGCGGCAACTTCACGCGCAATGTAATTCGTTATTTTCCGCACTTGTCATATAAGATATTATTTCCGCACTAGTGCGGTAAAGTGTAACCATAGTAATCCACATTACCGCACTAGTGCGATAAAGTAAATCATAAAAATCCTTTTATTCTCGCACTAGTGTGGTAAAGTAAGGCATACATTGAATCGTTGAGAAATAAGCCATTTTCCGCACGCTAAACAACAATCGAAAATCGAACTTTCGCAACAGGCATTGCAAAAATATCTTCTTTCTTCATGGTTAGTTGTGTTGATAGTTAGTTTTACCATTTCTCGATTGACATAACAAACTTCAACGTAACGAAATTCACGCGAGACAAAACGTCAATTCGTTATAACCTTCATTATTCAAGAAGGATAAAATGAATAAAAGAAATGAGTGTTTAAGACCGTTCACGCCGTTAGAATTTATAGAATTAGCTGAATCTGTCACGAAGATTTTATTACCAAAAAGATCGAGAGATAAGTATATGAGTAAAAACATGTTTTATATCAATAATTGTTTAAATCTCACATTTTATTTTGGTGATAAATAAATATAACAGTATATAACACTATTTCTTATTTGAATTTAATTTCAATTAATTCTTTAATCTCAAATCTGAGGCGAATGCGGCAACTTTACGCGCGATATAATTCGTTCTTTTCCACACTTGTCACATAAGATACTATTATTATTGATAAAAAGTGAACATTCAGGGTTATTTAAGGTTAACCAAAATGTGTAAGGACACATTTTGGTTTCTTGTCCTCAATTTTTATGACAGATGTCTTTCCCTATCTCTAATCATTTTTGAGAAAAACATGGTGAACTTTTTATCAGACACCCTGTATATGTACATAATGTTTCAAGATTTAACGATCTAACTTAAAATATGAAAATTCAAAAATTTTTAAAAATGTTTCTCTAGAAGTATGCCCATAACCACTTTATTCAAGAAATATTGATATTTAAATATTTTAAACATAAAATTTCAGAGAATTATAACAGATTAAAATAAATAAATTAATAGTGTCAATAATTAGTGGTAATAATTTGCATTATATTATTTTATTTTACTAGAAAATATAAAAATTCTACAATAATTATCAAAGCAATAATTCAAAATAATAATTTAAACACAGAATTTAGGATCTTTACCAGCAGACTAAAGGCATGATAATTCACAAAAACAAACAGAAATATTTTTCAGCGATATATAATGTTTTGTATGATTTTTTTATAATATTGACATCTAGCATCAATACCAATTTTTTTAATTTTTAAGTCGGTAACATCTATATCTGATAAACATGTGCAATATACCAACAGATTGGCAACAAACTCATTGTCAGAGAAGTAGATATTTTGGCATTAGTTATGTTCTCATTAGATTGAGTTTCCACTGGATGCGTCACGCGTCTCATGTTATTACAATGAGATGTTTTGATTATTGATTGGTTAACTCGTTGGCGGGACAGATGACGCAACGAGTGACACATTCAGTGAAACTCAGCTTTAGACTTGTGATCTATTGATAGAACTTGCTCACAAAATGTGATTGATAACAAAAATTGAATAGGATTTGTACACGAGCATTCAAGTAAGATCTGCTATTTCTAGCCATTTCAATGTAATGTAAATTGATATTTTTCAATAAAAATTCTTGATATTAGATTTGATTTTAATGCATACTACGTACATACATACACATATATATAAGGAGGGGCAAAAGTTCTGGAACGGCAAAATATCTCAGAAAATATTGATTTAATAAAAAAATATTTCAAACACAAGGAGTAGGCTTAAAAAGAACTATTAGTTGATGATATTTGTTTTACCTTGGAATAATCTCGAAAAGCCCGGTCAAGGTTAACATAAAAATAGAAACCCTTATTTTTTATTACATATTCTTGTAAACTAAAATCGAGATATTTCCAAAATACTATAATAAAATATTTTTACATTAAGCACTTTTGAGTTATAATAAAATTATAATACTGCCGACAGTAGCGCTACCCAATTTTTACCCAATATATTTTTTGACACACATATCTTCCTCCCTCACACACAAACACAAGATATGTAAATCCGACTGAGAAACCTCCATGTGGTACATCTTTTTCTTAAGGAGAGAGGCTCAGTTGCGCACAGTATTTGGACACGTTGCTATTACCTACTGTGCTATTACACATAATATTACACACCATTTTTTCGCACAAGTTCTTTTAAGCACAGTTCTTTTACGTACATTTCTCTTGTGCATTGCTCTTGTTCATTATTAATAGATTTACAACCTTTCATACAATGTTATTTCACCTCGTTGAGTCACTACAGGTTTTCAGGATCCATATATATCAACCGATGCTTTCAGTCATTAACGAAGTCAATAATTGTGACGGTGCACGAAAGAAATGTGCACAAAAGAACTGTGTGCAAAAGAAATGTGCACAAAAGAACGGTGTGCACCTTTAAGTGTCTAATAGTACAATGAGCAAACGTATCCAATTGTATTGTGCGCAAGTAAAAGTTTCTCCACCTTAAGTAATGCTAATATCTATATGCTAATAGTGGTACCATAAATTCCAAGTTTTATAACTCGAAAAGTGCTTAATGAGAAATATTTTATTATAGTGTTATGGAGAAAAATTTTTCTCTCGCATTTATTTCCTTAAGGGGGGAACAGGGATGTATGGAATTAAATCGCTTGTAGAGATTATTCTAATTTTAAATCTTGGCCGTGTCCAAGTAAAATTTAATGCCTTGTGCACAGGTTTTTAATCTTAACGAAAAATTTAGTTTCGCGTTGGGATAACGCACTGTCATCCGCGATTTGGCTCTTTTATTGCCTGTTTGACACTCTCAATTTATATTTATATTTATATTACAGAGCCTTGTTAAATTCTCAAATAAATATCACCAAATAGTTTCTTTAAGCTCTACTCTTTTTGTTTGAAATATTTTTTTATTAAATCAATATTTTTTGAGAAATATTTTACCGTTCCAAAACTTTTGCCTCTCTCTGTATACAATGTATATAGGGTGTCTCAGTCCACCCGTATCAGCCGATTATATCAAAAACTGAGCGCGGCAGACAAAAATGTTTCAGACAAAAGTTGTAGGGCTTCAAGTAACGCATTATATAGCAATATCAGTATGACCTTGAAGAGTGTTGTCAAGGTCATATAAAAATGCCCTTGAAATTTTAACATGGAAGCACTACATTTTATTCTATATTCTTGTAGCTTATCTCGAGAGCTTTCCAAAACA